AATTCAACAAAGGGTTGGTATTCGAACGACAAGATATAATAATGGGGGAATACATTGCAAGTGGTTTATGAAATCATTGCATTCTGCAGACTTTGAGAACTTGACTACAACCAATGGGGTTGCAGTATCCGGAATATTGTCGAAACGAACCTATTTTATAAGTTAACTCAGGTTTATGTTCAAGACCATGTCACCGATATTTTATTGATTACTAAAAATGATTCCTCTATTGACCAAACAGCTTCGACTTGTTTCCAGAGAGAACAGATAGGTGAAATGAACATTTTTTATAGATGCAAGAATTTGTAGGTATCTGTTTTTAAATTTAATTTTTCGTTTTAATCAAACCATAAAGAAAAAAAATGAGCTGATTTTTTTCCAGGAAATTGGTGTGTATTTTATTGTTTTAGATTCCGCTTTATTTTAATTGCTAAATGAATGTAAATCCCTCATTTGAAACTTCCTGCGAAATTTAAGAGCTGAACATCATGGAAAATGAAGGACGCAATTACAAGTTGACGCGAATAGAATTCATTCGCAATTTGATGTGATTTTGCATACATACTAATTTATATCAAATAATAATGATTTTATTGGCTGCTTTTAAAAAAGTCTATTAACCGGCAGTTGACTTCTCACTTCAAACTACCATCACCCCACTGTATCTCATATTCGACCACTTACACAGTACTCATCTTACCTTTTAATCTACCTTTGTGTCTGTCTCTTTTACATCTGTAAATCATCCTTCTGTTCCTCACCCCTCAACTTTATGTTAATTTGATGTTCCTTCCCACTGTGAAGCCCGAATTCAGCTAAAGGGCTACTGATAACTATCAAAACGCCTGCCATCTGAAATAAATAAAAACAAATTATTTTGAAGTACTTTCTCAAAAATTAATTACATTATGTTTGTGATTGAACGGCAAAGCAAGCTTAAGGACTATTCGTTAAGATGTCACTTAGTATTAACTAAATCTATCAATTTAACCTAGTCAAGACATATTGATTAAGAGGTCGGTGAAGTCTTTGACTGAAATGGTTGATTATATCCAAATCGGTCTAAAATTTCGATGTCTGTAGCCGTTAGCGTAAATCCTCACCTCCTCTCAAAGGAGTTAGAGTGAAATTATTGACGTGAGATTCAGCAGAGTATGTTTCAATATTTTGTCGACAGAATTAATCAATCTCTGCCTTCCAATGCCCAATTTTCATTTGCCTTCAATCTCATAAAACCCATTCACAAATAGGAATAATACAAAAAATGTTGACTCTAGATCATGTGCCGATCTTGTTAAAATTCGAAATCTAAAAATCGATTAAGTTCTTCTATATCTATACGTCCGCCTGTTTGAAAAATGTCCTTTATACTAACATGACTGCAAGCAACATCCGCTTTGGCTGAATATTTGATCGATCCACACAGAGTTTCTTCAGCCTAATATCTCAATGTCTACTCGCCATCAGTTTTCACTGAAGGGGACCTCCAGAGCCCATCGGGCAGTTGATGTCTCAGTTGCAGGGATAGCGAAAGAGAGAAGGCGAGGGAGATGAGCCCCGTGCAAGGAGGTGAGGTGGAACGCGGGGGGAGAGCGATATGTACAAGAGATGAGACCAGTAAGAGTTGGGGGGTGGGGGGTGAGGAGGGAGGTGTAATGTACCGTCGTCGGGCTTTGAAGGGTCGGTGTGAGCGGAGTAGGCATCTACTTTTCCTTTGATCTAGGCGTGTAATTGCCGCCCGGTAGCGTCGTCGTTGCTGCCTTTTACGCTTAAGAGCTTACACCCACCCAACCCAGCCCAACCCTCGGAAGCCATTAGACAACGTGCTTGCGCGTAAGCGCGTGTTCTGTGCGGACGTGTTGGAGCATCGATCAGCAGTGAATTGCTTTGATCATCTACCACCGATGCCGCCGAAAAGGGGGCCGACCGACTCCGCGCTCTGCTTGCTCATCCTAAGGGCGTTGAGACGTGTTTGTGAGTTTGTATGTGTGTGTGTGTGTGTGTTTGGAGAGCGGTGCACCTCAAAGGATCTTGCTGAGAACGGGAGTAATTGAGCAACAGGGAGCGGGGGTGGGGTGGCTTAGTGAGAAGATTAGGGAAAATGGAATGCGCGTCTGCTTAAGTCCAAAAAGTTTCAAAAAAACGCAGACGTTTATTTTGCAATGTTCTTGTGAATGAAATATTTAAGGTACTTTTTTCCAATTTCGTAATTGACATTTTGTGGTCACTCAGAAGGCTTAAGTCATCGAAAACGCATGTTAACAAAGAAAAATATGGTTACAAAAATGTTTACGCGATATACACCTTAAAGAATTTCCGGTTTGAATTTTTTGAAACAGAGATTCTCGTGATATTATTATTATTATTATTATTTCAAATGGCAGGCTTTGTGACATTTATCATTAGCCCTGATTCTCGTGTCAAAAAATATAAATAATCAACTCACTCATAATTTTAATTTAAATGAAAGTAAAACAATTTACTTGCATACTTTTGGCATTCTTCATTCTGCAAACTCTAAGGAATACTCGGTGCATTGCCTTATATGCTACTTATTTTTTTAAGTAACACGTTTAAAATCTGACATATTTTGTGGCAAATTTTACCGTCCGTGATGGAATTAGGATGAAAGCGATACATGTCAACAATTTCAAAATTGCTAGCAGATACTTTCTTACAGGAAATGATTGTGACGTATATTAAAAAGGCCGAGTAAAGACAATGTTGTCAAAAGTTCCTATTTTTCCCCCATGGAAAAGTAATTGAGATATAGCAGAGCCCCCATTGCGGACATTTATTTATTTCAGATGGCAGGCATTTTGACAGTTATTATTAACAAGTTAGCTGACTTCGGGCTTCACAGGGGAAGGAACATCAAATTAACAGGAAGTCGAGGGGTGGGGAACAGAATAATGATTCACAGATGTAAAAGAGACAGATAGGCACAAAGGCAGAGAAAAGGTAAGTTGAGTACTGTGGAAGTGATAGAATATGACATACAGTGGGGTAATGGTAGTTTGAGGTCAGAAGTCAACTGACGGTTAATAGACTTTTTTGTCGTATCAGGGTGCACCACGTAGAGGGAAGTTTATCGCACACCCCACATTGAAGATAGTGGAGGCTTGTCAAAAGAAGTTAGTAATAAAAGCCACCTGCTCATTGATTTCTTGATTATTTTATTTTCAATCAAATCTTAAATTTCTTGAATCTATAGGGATATCTTGTCTAGTGATTGTTGAAAGGCTGTTTAATTGGAATAAATGATTTCACACCTTCTTGTAAGGACTTAAAAAGCTATAATTGGCCTTATCTGTTCCCTTACAGATTTCAAGATCGCAACAAAGTAGAACCTGGTCAATATGGAATTACAATCCACTTGAATTTAAACTTAAGTAACCCACATCCCCAATTAGCAACTATGAATTAGTAGCACTAAAATTAATTACATTAAAAATTTTATAAATTGCAAGATGATTCATTCTTATAATTCCATGGTTGAAGATGGTTAATTAGAATCGACAATACTGACAATAGTATGAAAAATTCTTACTACGGAAGTTTAAGAATACACTTACTTTACACGAGATACTCATTGGATACTACAGATCTTTTAATATCACACTTATTACACATATCGTACCAGGGAATCACAGTTTGGCCTTGTTGCAAATTGGAATGATTTCAATGTGTCCATCTATTTTTAATGATGGATGATATTTCAATTGGTTCTTGCAGTGAATAAACTACACTCAAGTGACCTCTAAACTGACACTTTAGGGGTCATCAAGAATGTGATTCGAAATGAACTTACGATTGAGAAAACTCTTTTTTTGATCTAATGTAAAATTTGAGCATTGTTGCACATCTATGTTGAAGCAGGGGGTGTGTGATAGACTTACCTCCAAGTGGTGCACCCTGGGCAACGTATACTCATATGGCAAAAAAGTCTATTAACCGGCAGTTGACTTCTGACTACAAACTACCATCACCCCACTGTATGCCATATTCCACCACTTTACCGTACTCACCTTACCTTTTTCTCTACCTTTGTGTCTGTCTATCTCTTTTGGCTCTGCGGATCGCTCTTCTGTTCTCCACTCCTCGACTTTCTGCTGCATTGATGTTCCTTCCCCTGTGAAGCCCGAAGTCAGCTAAATGGCTAATGATAACTACCAAAACACCTGCCATTTGAAATAAATATTGACTTAAGCTACAAGCCCCCTAATATTGACTAGAGGTAAGCGGGCTAGGGTTAAATATTCCGGTTACTCGATATGCACAGGCAAACTTGAATCTGTGGACCCAGACTCAACTCCCCACCCCCCTCCCCCCAGAACCCCACGATCCCTGGCACATGGGGAGGCACAAAAGTTGAGGTCGAGCTGACTTCGAGTGCCCCACGGAACAGGATAGCGCCTACACCGAGGGTGGTAATAACCAAGGTAACACGATGAGGATCCAGTGGAAAAAGACAAGCGTACACTTGCCTCCACGAAAAAGGCACAGTAAATAGGATTGGCTAAACATAATCACACAACTGATGATAGCTCTCTTTCAGACCTGGGTTAGTGAACGAAAAATTTGAACTCCAGAAATTGAAGACGAATTTCTTCACATAGAGAGAGAGCGAAAAAAGCCGAAATACAAAAGGGATGAACCAAATCGAAGAACTCACTCAACATGTTCTGCGGGGATTGAAACATCTGGAGTATTGCGGATGGAACTTAGAGGAGTGCGTCTGCGGGATGAAGCAATCGATTCCGACTGGCCTTCAAGCGTGGACTGTTGACATTTCTGTGGAGTTTTAAGAACCTGGCGCCTGTAGGGATATGCAGATAGCAAAAGAACTTGTAGAAGCAAGTAAAGAGTAAGGGAAGATCCACATATTCTCTACTCAGGTGACTACTAATCCAAAGCCCTTTTATAGAATAGTATCGAATGGAACGGATTTCCTGAGAGTACAGAACATCTTTTAGCATGATACGCGCTTCCAATAGGTGAATGAAGAACTCATATCACCACCAATATACCCAGAGTTGGAATATGGAAGGTTGTGCATTAAGTTGGTCTGTTTCATATAGTTCTAACATAGTATATATGAATGGAGAGGAGTTTCCTAGACCACTGTGTGTTCTAAATTTAAGAAAGGATGCAACGCAAGTTTCATCAAATTGGGAGACCACTATATAGTAGTTAAGTGATGCTTGATGGTAAACGAATTGAGGAATTGATAGGAGTGATTAAAAAAAGAGAAGCAGCTTACAGCCCTCCTTCCGATTGGTCTTGGACATCTACAGCATCACCCATTTGAGTCGATGGGCCTCGTCTACGTGTTGTTGCTCGCTGCGAGAATGCTACTGAGCGTTTCAGCCAATTCTGCGGCACATCGACCCTGTACAAAAGACTGATATAAAACCAAAATTGACAAAATAAATTGGATTATTGCTCAATCAGAAACGTATGCCATCCCCAACC